TATGAGAGGTGGTGGGTCAAATAGCACATTTTTTACACAAAGTGTGTGATTATAACACATTAGTGTGTAAAAGATCTAAACACACCTTTTGCCTTAAGAGGTCTAACACACTTGATGACTTTAAAGTAACACAAAATGTGTTGTCCTTATCTAGACACGAGTTAAAGAATTTCCAACACATCAGTTTTAACAATGAAGTAACATTTTATCCTTTTTAAGGTCATTTAATGGGTCTTTTGTTTATTGTACACCTCAGTTAATGGACTAATTACGAGAATTGAATTGTTGACTACAGTTGCATATAATCATAAATATGAGGTTTGAGTCCACAATTGAAGCTCTTATTCATATTGTGTAGGCCTAACACATTTTGGTCCCTACGTGCCCCTCTTCTCTTCATAAAATCCTAGAAATTCCACTTACTAATATTATTTAAATATGGCGCATAGGGATTTTACACACGTAAAATTATGCTCAAATATGCACATCAAGAACAATACAACCCAAACCCACTTAGGACATATGTCACACTGTTTGTTTTTTAGTAATGCAGAGTAAAGATCATCTTACCATACCCCGAGAGTACTGGTCCGGCATCGGAGCCAAATCAACCGGAGAGACAAACACAAGCAAAGCGCAGGTCAGGTAAACCAACCAAAGATATCCTGAGAAAGTCATTTGCCTGGACGGAATAAAATTAAATAAACAGCTGCAGACAATCAAAAGGATCTGCTTTTATTCTGAGGTTAATGTAGATCTCGTTTTCTCATACCGTTATATGCGTTTCTCTTGCTACTTCAGTTTATTTTTCTAAGGACTAGGCAGGGTAGAGACCAATCAACGAGAAGCTCTCTCTCTCTCTCTCTCTCACACACACACACACACACACACACACACACACACACACACACACACACACACATCTCTGTTTGTCTATTCTGAAAAATCTCTATAAGAATATCTCACTCTCACAAATGAGCATTACTTAACTGCATTAATATACATAATTAATATTACCATTAATTATTCAATTATCCCTTGATTCAAAACAAGGTAACCTTTGCAATTCTCACATTTTGCACAACATAAATCAGTCAAAAGTCAACACACACACACACACACACACACACACACACACACACACATCTCTGTTTGTCTATTCTGAAAAATCTCTATAAGAATATCTCACTCTCACAAATGAGCATTACTTAACTGCATTAATATACATAATTAATATTACCATTAATTATTCAATTATCCCTTGATTCAAAACAAGGTAACCTTTGCAATTCTCACATTTTGCACAACATAAATCAGTCAAAAGTCACCAGAACTCACAAAGCACAATTGAGGTTAAAGGTGCAGTCCCACCCATAACTGAAAGCAACTGGATGTTTCAAACCTTACCAAACCGTTAAAACACTCATATTTCTTAAGAGATTTCACCCACTGTAAAACAAACACTACAATAATTACAAACCAAAAATTGAATGTGTATTTTTTCTTTCATCAGCAATATTTCATAATTCCACTTTTATAAACAGATCGCTTACAAAATCAATACCGAAAATATATGAATCACTATGTGCTCTATTAGAATCCTGTCATCAATGAGATGAAACAGCGGCAGGAAGAAAAGATCACAGGGGACCAGGAAATTTACACGTGTGTGTGTGTGTGTGTGTGTGTGTACCTACTTAACCATATTTTGGGGACAAATTTGCACCCAAAAGCGAACTAAACCTGACAAAATCTCCAAAAACCTCCCTTTGGGGATGTCCTCATTTGTAAAACTGGTATAAAAATAAAGTTAACAAAAACATTTTTAAATTGTAAAAATGCAGAAAGTTTCCTGTAAGGGGTAGGCGGAAGTGTAGGGTTGGTGTAGGGCGATAGAAAATACAGTTTTCTTGTCATGGGACAAATTTCAACATACTGCTCAAGGTATATCAGACACATAAACATGCGGTAAATGATGCAAAACAGGACTTTGATTAGCAACACCAAGACTGCTGTTGTTTATAATATGTGCTGATATCAAGGTGTGGTCACATTTACCGTTGCTTGGCAAAGGCTGGTGAGTGTAATCGTGTCATTCCAATTGGAATCCGCATGTTCATGAGTTTTGCGTGAGGGTGAAAAAGTTCCCCACACAGATTTTGCTCATGTTCAAGCTGGTCACTCAGATTCACCTCACGGACCAAGAGAAACTGCTTGGTTTGAAACTGACTTCTGTGTGAGCTGTTCACAGTTGACAAATTTGGACTTTTTTGCACGTGAAATTTAACTGGAATATGACCCCACATTGATATTGTTTTTATACAACAGTTCAACAAACAGTGTATTAATATTGACTAATTTTGCACACAATATTGCCAAGAGATTTTCCAAATGAAGCCCATCCATGCAAAAGCAATGATTTAGTTGAGTGAATGATACTCTGACTTACTCAAGGTAATCACTTGTCAATGAAAGCTTGTTTCATACACGGGATAAAAAAAAATCGTTCTGAACGCAATTCTGTGTTTACAGCTCATATTCAGAGTTTATATTTTGCAATTCTGACTTTTTCTTTGGTCTGAATTCTATTTACATCTCACTATTCTGACCTTTCTTCTCAGATTTTTACTACCACAGAATAAAAAATTTAAAAGGTAACTGTGACATTTTATATATTAGTTTATATCTTGCAATTCTGAGTTTATATCTTGCAGTTCAGAACTGCCAGAAAAAAAATCTGAATAGTGAGATATAAGCTCAGAATTTCCACACACAAAAAAAAAGTTAACAGACAACATAAAACACGCATGATCATATCTGTGAGCTCCAGAATGTCCATTTACTGTTGACTGAAATTGCCAGCAAACCATCAGTGCTACTTCTCTCCCATATTTCCCCAACCCCCCAAATGCCAGAGTGCATCTGAAAGCACTATTAGTGGTACATGACACTGTATCGCTAATGCCTTGAGAGAAAGAAAGAAAGAAAGAGGAAGAGAGACACACACTGTGACGTTAATGGCTAGATACTCTGGGTTAATTCCTGCTTCACTAAAACTATTTAAAGCTTGTGACTCATCAAGGCTTTGTTGTAGACTCACATATGAACATAGTAAAACAGGATATACGTAAAGAGATAGAAAAATTCACATGATGGTGTTATGCAATCAGAATGTCCCTTAACTGAAACCATTTACATGTGTGTATGTACTGTGAAAATGATCATATTGCTTATTTGGTTAAATGGACAATAATTATGATCAACTGGGATGATGCTGTATTTGAGACAGTTACAACTCACATTTCAACATTGCAATGTTTTATTAAAGGGTTTAATGCATACATGAAATGGGTTGACTAAGCAAGTGAACACAACATCCACATACAAGTACAATGGGATCAAAAATTGACAAACTGTGACCCCCCCCCCCCCCCCCCCCCTGCAGTACT